TTTTTTGTCAGAGATTTTTATGGAAATAAATACATGTTACAGAAATTCTCACTTATACATTAGATCATCTGAACAATTATACTCATACTGGAAATGATAAAATTAAGCCATAAATTAGCTTTCTTAAAGCAGCAAAATTTCTACTAATGAGGAATTCATAATGAATAAAATTCCTAATTTTATTCCTTAATCCAACCATTCCTTCAAGGAATACTGAAAATTGCTGAAGATGGAAAGTATTTATCAAGCCTTTAATGCAAGCTAGGCATTCACATGATGTTTAACTTCATTATCCCTTATAGATAGATATGATATATATCTCCATTTCAACAGATGAAAAAACAAAAGCTGAGAATTTGAATAAGCCTGGTCATGTAAAAATGGATAACCAAAAATTGAATCTTCTGGCTCCAACTTCAACGACCCTAATAAACACTGTACATCATAGTAATTATGATTTTTGTAAGGATTAAATGAGATAATTCATGTATAGCACTTAGCTGACACACCAACATTGCTCAATATATATTATTAATATGCTTCTTGCTAGTGCAGGGTGGACGGTCATTCTACTTAAAAACAACTAGACTTTTTCCCGTATTTTAAAATAAGTTAGTGTAAAAGTTTATTTTGACCAACTTTTACATTGTACATCTTAAATCAACATACAGTATCCATTCTCATAAAGGGTACAAGATCTAAATTTTCTTTCTTATGGGTACAAAATTAATTGCATATGACAACATAAAACTTGGCTAGATGGAAAGAATAGGGATTGTATTTAACAAATTTTTGGTAACTTTCCCAACACAGTTCTTTTAAATTATACTATTATAAACACAATTGAATTAATGTTAACATTTTAATGTGTTGGATAATATATTGATGACCATTTCTAGTATTTATCTGATGAAATAATCACATTTTCTAAATTTTGTGATTTTTAAAAGTTAGTATTACTGAAACACTATTTTCATGAATTTTGACAGTACTTATACATTCACATGTGTCCAGGTATCCCACATAGAATGAAGAGAGGAACTCTAATAGGCTGAACTCTGACCCTTGATCTCCCCAGTGAGGTACTCTTACATAATGTTCTCTTTTACAAATGCCTGTCCAGTT